CTGCTTGCTTTCACCACCCTGCACTGGATAGTAAATTCCAGCAGGTGATGATCACTGTCACCCAGGTGGTCAAGTATCCGCAGACCCTTCACCAGGTTGTCGCCCGTGGCGAGGACCAAGTCCAGCAAGGCATTTCCCCTGGTGGGACTATGCACCTCCTGGGTTAGGTGGAGGTCCTGTATCCTGGCTAGGAACCTACGTTGAGTGGTCAGACCTAGCTGACTGCTCCTCCTAGCAGATGCCCGGGTAATTTAGGTCACCCATGACAACCACATCCCTTGACTTTACAGCCTCTGTGAGCTGACCTGAAAATTCCAGGTCCAGCTCGTTCCCCTGGTGAAGCCGTCTGTAGTAGACACCCACTATCAAGTCTCTTTCCCCACACCCCGCTTGCATTCTTACCCAGAGTGCCTCATTTTGCCCCTCCTCTGACCCCATCCTGATAATAGAGGACATGTATTTTTGACATATTGCGCTACACCCATCCCCCCTCTTTTCCTTGCTCTGTCTTACCTGTACAGCCTGTATCCCTCGATGTCCACTGCCTAGTCATGGGTAGAATCCCACCAGGTTTCCGGGAGCCCCACTAGGTCTGGGTTTTTGCTAGCTATCAGGAGGGCAAGTTCCTCTTGCTTATTCCCCATGCTTCAAGCATTTGTGTAGAGGCATTTGAGGCCTCCTGTAGGTGCCCATGCTGCCCCCTTGTTCTTAAGCCTGCCCTGGCCCCTGTCACTTACCTGAATACTATCTGTGCACATCACCTGGCTTGACGGCGAAGTGATCTCATGTTCCTCTGTGTCCCCATCCCCCAGCGAACCTAGTTTAAAGCTCACCGTATGAGATCAGCCATCCTGGAAGAAGAAACACGCTTACCTTTTGGAGAGAGATGAAGCCCATCCCACCCAAACATGTCCTCTGTGCAGAAATGCGGGTCATGGTCCAAGAACACAAGGCCCACCTGGTAACACCAGCTCTGAAGCCGCTGGTTGACCTCGCTGGTGCATGTCTCGTGGTGCCGTCCACGTCTGCTCACTGGAAGGATAGAAAAAAAAAACACCTGTGCTTTTCTCCTTGAGCTTTGCCCCTAGAACCTTGTATAACACCAGCTCTGAAGCCGCTGGTTGACCTCGCTGGTGCATGTCTCGTGGTGCCGTCCACGTCTGCTCACTGGAAGGATAGAAAAAAAAAACACCTGTGCTTTTCTCCTTGAGCTTTGCCCCTAGAACCTTGTACTCTCATGATGCGGTCTGGGTTGCCCCTGGCCATGTCATTCATTCCCACGTGGATGAGGACCACGGGGTAATGAGGTCCAGGATCATCTCTGTGACATCCTGAATCTGAGCTCCAGGCAGGCAACAACCTCACATGCCATGGGGTCAGAGCGACAGATGGGCCCCTCCATTCCTCTCAGGATGGAATTGCTGATGATGAGGACCCGGCGTCTCTTTCTCTTGGTGTTCCGGTAACTTGGCCTGTGCCGTGCTTGGAGTGGCGCTGGTTCCCTTAGAGGCATCCTTTCCTACCTCCTCCTCTGCAGCTGCCAGGGCCTTTGTTGGCTCCTTCAAGAGGGAAACAGTTAGCACGTTGGCCTCAGTGAAATTTGGGAAGCCTGTTCTCTGGCACTAGATACAAATATTCAAAAAGCCCATGGCAGAATTGATCTAAGTTATGAGGTTTTCTGTGAGTGGTGTAGTTTAGATTGGTAGCAAGCAGAATGCACATTCACACTTCAGTGGTGGCAAGTCTTATGCTGGGTTCTGCCGTTTTTAAATAGTTTTTGTGTGCCGAACTTCTGCTCTATTACGGGTACAGACTTGTTTTGTGTGCTGAACTTGTAGTCCATTATGGGTATAGACTGATTTCTCATCACTTATACCTGTAAAAGTGTAATATCTGTACCTGGCCTGGAAGGCAGCTGTTTCTTCATGCATGTGTCTAATGACCATTCCCCGGTAAACCATGGTAATAATCACTGTATCCACCTACTTCATAGAGATATAGTGAGGATTAATTACGTTACATCTAACAGGTCTCTGAAGGTTTAAATCACTACATTTATCATAATCACTATCATCAATTAAGCCACCTATAACCCATCTTCTCATCCTACACACACAAGATTTTCATAAGATAGGAGTCTTAATTAAAAAACATGACTTAGAGTCGGACATTTGTTTTCATCACTGTCAGAAGCCTTAAAGCTGTGTTTTGTTGGGAATTTAAGGCACTTGAAAAGTCCATGAGGCGAGATGCCATAGGCATGTAGAATATTACATTTTCATTTCTGGAAATATGCATAGTCTACAGATGCATAGTCTACAGGATTTAGAACTATTGAACGTTCTAAATAGAGCATTTAGATCCATGAGTGCCCTTAGTTTCTAAAGGCAAGACAAGGTTCCTTGGGTTTCTAAATGCAATTGCTCCTACATGCTATCTAAAATCATTTTATTTTTCTTTTAAGAAAAGACACCTATAAAGCAACAAGCCTGATGCTCCTATCACTTACATTACTATAAATCACAAATAACTCAATTTAAAGCAATGGAGCTACACAGCTGTAAAGCAGATGTAAATGAGAAAAAAACCAGGTCAAGAAAATCTTTAAAGTGTTCCTATAGCAGCCCAAATTTAATCTATCAACAATTGCTATTGGACATAGAGTAGAAATAAAGTGTGTCTCTAAAGTCAGATTCAGGAGACCATTGAGTGTATTTAGCTAGATTTAAGTTAATAGCTCCAGTCAGCAAAAAATTACACTTCAAAGGACAATTTTTAGGGTTTAAAAGGGCAGTATTAGGAAGAGGTTTGTGGTGTAGGTAGCAAGGAACGCAATTTGACAGAAAAATCCTTGCAAAGGCACATGTCCCACTTAGAGAAAGCAACTGCTAGCTTCCAGTAAGAAACAGCATTACCAGATAGTCATGATTATAATATTACAATGACATGACAAGTAATCACTCTGGAATAGAGTATTTGCAAAAGGAACTGTTCCTGAATAGCTGTAGCAGAAAACACAGCCCTCCTTAATTATGCCAGTCAACTGCTATGTGTAAGCAAGATTATTTGGTTTATCTGCATGAAAGAATCTAGCGGGTATTGGAGATGCCACCAGTGCTGTAGTGGGTCATATGAGTCCAGGGCCTTTGGGTGGATAAACTGCACCACAGCAGCAGTTGCCAGGGACCTTTTTGAATCCTCAAATCAGATAAACCTCCTGTGAACAGCAGCAAAGGATACTGGTCTTAGCTGGGAACAGTGCAGCAGGTAGGTTCCCCTTCTGGTGTTGCAGCTCCCTGCCCAGGCTCCTGGATGCTCCAGGACCAAGCACTGGAAGGAGGAACTGTCCCCTCCCTCCCATCACCACCAAGTCTGGCTCCTCCCATAGATGGAGTCCTAGGGACACTGGGGAAAATGGGGTGAAGGGAGTAGAGACCCACCCACTGCTGCCAAGACAGACACTCTGCACATCCACTCTCTGCAGCTTCTAACTGGACTGGAGCAGGAGCAGACCTGGGCTTCAATCACCCCCAGGTCATCTGGGGATAGTGGGCGGGGGGGGAGCTGTTCCTTCTTCATCACCTGCTCGCTGTTTGGACCCCTGGGTGTCCCAATGCCAACTGGGGTTCCAGCCATAGGGAAAGGGAAGTTCATCTTGGGTCAACCTGAAATGACAACTTTTTTTTCCTCATTAAAAGGACCTCTTCTCCCCTCTGCGCTAAAACAAAAACAAAAAAAACCCCACACAAACCTTCATTTTAGTTGAATAAAGCATTTGTTCAATTAGAAATAAAATGCTTAATTTCAGGATTTTTTACTTCTTTAAAAATCAATTTAATAATTGTCAAAACAAAATATTGACTTTCAGCTTTTCATTCTTTTTTTTAATTGTTTCTGAATTATCTTTATCAAATAAAGTATTTGCATGAAAAAACTTGCCTATTGCTAGTCCTTGAGATGACAGATGAATTTTAGCCCCACTGTAGTCAACAGAAGTTTTTTCTATTTCCTTCCTTAATGACTGACAAATTCCCTTATAAGGTCCTACAGCATTTCAAGAGCAGTATTCTTATTTAAACAGTAGCCTAAAGGCTAATGTTTCTGTGGGCATATCTTCACAAGATGTTTACTGCAGAGTAGACTAATTAGCTCCACAGTAAACATCTCAGCATCTACACGTTTTAAATACAAGTACTATCCTGCTGCAGAGTTATTTTACTCCACAGCAGTGTAAGTGTATGTCCATGGGGCACGAGGTAGGGCCAAGGGCCTCGCTGACCTTGTGCCCAGTGAGTTTGTGCCTTGAGGGAAAGGCCTTGTTATCCTTGCAAAATCAAACAGCAGTATTTGCCCAGTTCTCACCTGCCACATCTTGATGTAATCTATAAATATTGGGAGGTGTTCCCTTGCTGAGAGTTTACTTCAAGGACTTTAGGCCTGCTCCTCCTGGGGCTCCAGCCTCTCCTTACACCTAAACCAAATGCCAACCAATGTAAAGATATTGCAGGAAATCTTATCAGTTGTTAACAGATGTTCTACTTCTGTTCTGTTCTTTTTTTTTCTTTGGCTCAGGGTCCTTTCAGCGCTACTTCTGGATAAAGAGCTCAGAGTGGACCCAGAGGAACATTGGGTCACCACTAGGACAAAAAAGGAAACTGCAACAGCCAAAGAACAGCACAGTCCAGGTAAGTATTTGGCACGCCCAAAGTCATAGATTCGTATAGATGCTAGGGTCGGAAGGGACCTCAATAGATCATCAAGTCCGACCCCCATCATCGAGTCCGACCCCCAAGTCCTAAAATGCTATGCACTTTTGATTTTCTTTATCACAGGTATAGGCTCCTTTCCCCAAGGGCTGGGGAATGATCCTTGTCTGGACACAGCCTCATGGGTAAGAACAACTTAAGTCAAAGGAAAAAGAAAAAAACTAGCCACAGATAGGCAATGTCTTTGCCTCCACTGCAGGTGAATATTACTTATACAGCTCGGGGTTCCTCCCCTTTACTCAATAAGTCAGTCAGCACTCTTTCTATTATATAATAGTAACTCAAATGCAAAAAAAAAAGAAAAAAACAAACTTCTTTCACACTGAGCGGCTTGCAGCTGCTCCATCCTTCCCAGTGCTCTAGTATCCACAGTTGGAGAACACTGACAAGTGATCCTCCATAGTTAGAGCTCCTCCACGCTCTGAGACCGGGATCTGGTCCTCTTCCCGTCCCCAAGCTTCTCACAGCTGGAGCTTCACGCTAGGATGGTAGGACTTGCCTGCTTTCCCTAGCCATCTTCTCTCTCTGTCATGGCCACACTGCTGTAAATAGTGCATTGGATGCAGTGAACGCCGATCCGGATGGGCCAACGGCTGATAAACCAGCAACCTGGTGGCTGCACTGTTCCCAGGTGCTGTTTCTTGTAAGTCCAGTAAGTTTTCTGGATTTTTCTTCTTGTTCTGTGAAGAGGCACAGGAAGCCTCTTCACAGTGTATATGCTGGCCCAGCTGGCCAGGGCACAAGGGTGCTTCACTGTGGGGGCTGCCTGCTGGCTAGCCCTGCACTGGAACATCCTTGTGTCCCAGCCAGCCCTTCCAAAGCATGTCAAGCTCAACTGGAGCAGCCTTGGGCTGGCAGGCTGACCCCCTAAACCCACTGCTAGCTGGGGCAGCTCTGAGCTGGCTCAACATGCTGCAGTCCTGGGCACATGTAAATATGATGCCCAGGAGCAATAAACTCTGATGCAATAAGTGTCATGTTAATATGTATGTGTAGATGCACGCTGTCTCTTCTATAATATTGATTAAATGTTGGTATTTACGTGAATTTTTTTTTATACTAGAAGCAGACAGTTTAAAGACTTCAACTCAGAAAAGCATTAAAGCGGGTGTTAAACCCATCTATATGCAAGACAGCACTTGAGAACATTCCTAACTTTAAGCACATGCTAAAGTGCTGTCCTGAATAAGAATAAGTTCCTGAACTAGAGCCAAAATTTTGAAATAGTGCAAACAGTACAATACACTAGGGAAGAACAGGTGTTGAATTTAAACTACTCCGGGGAGATTTACACCCTTAGAAAGCCTTTGATAAATTTGATTTGCAAGTAATTAAGGGTAATGTAATGCTGATAATCCCATTTGTGCAAAGCCAAATTATAGATGCTAATGAAGTTCTGTAAAAGCAAGGAACTTTCTTTTGGACTTTAGAATATAAAATCCTGAATCATGGTGAAAGAGAGGAATTTAGGCTTAATCTACTCCATACTTTTTACGATGGAAATGGACTCCTTTCCTCATAATTTTCCATTTTTTTGCCCGAATATTCTCTTATTGTAAGTGTCATATGACTTAGGCTATACTGTGTTTTCACTCCATCTAAGAAAGTGAGAGAAAATGCAATGAATTTTTGGCATGGAACATTCAATTTTGAGTTGTCAGGTATTAAAACTTTTGGTTGTGGAATACCACTGGAAAAGTGTCCACAGCTGTCTAGACTACAGATGTTCCAGCAGCACTTCAAAAACAGCAGACTTGGAACGATATGCCCCACATAATTTTAGCAAGCGCTCAAGTAATTAATATAACTAGGAGAATTGGGGGCAAATACAGAATTAGCATTTTCAATTATTCTGAAATTATTAAATTCCTCTTTAAATTAGACAATTATCTAATTTGTCTCTAAACAATACCCAGTTTACTCAATTCAAAGTTGACATTTTACCTCCCCATTTTACATGAAGGAAAAAGCCCCTCATCTTAGAACTTTATATGGGGGGCAAGGGGACATATGGTTGCTTTGGCTCAGCCTCCAGCCCCTACCTGGAGTCAGGGCCACACAGCAGCTACTGCC